TGAAGAAGATAGAAAGCATGGTCGGAGTAATTTATGCATGATGTTAAGACACAAAACTCTTATTCTTGAGTCAAAAGCTGTTGCTGAAGTCAAACAAGACATCTTTCAGTCCGTGCTAGACCATGCAAACCCCGTGTTTCTTCTAGACAATCTCCTAATTGTTCCAGAGCAACTAGAAAAAGTTTGTGTTTATGTACCTTCACATGCGCACTTCGGGATAACTCAGATGACAATGCTTGCACCAGTTCCTCTTTTTCAATTGCCAACTGCAGCCAAAGAAGCAAAATAACTATCAAGTTATTATCCAGATTGACAAATGATAATACCTTGAGAATTGAAATGTATTGATTCTCATAGCTAAAGAAAACATTTTTAAAAATCACATAAATAATCCACGAAAACTACCTCAGCAATGAGTGTATTAATGTTATGAATCATTCTCATCTGATCAGCTGGGACGCTCAATGAAAAGCCTTCAAGAGTTAATTGTCCAGTTTCAGGAATGATAGCTGTATTAGATGAATCACTTTCAAGCAGAGCAGTAGAGTCTGTTTCCCGGTTGGAGCTCTCTGGCATGGTATCTGAGATTGCTGCACCAAGAATAACAAAAAAGAAAAAAGGATAACAAAGTATTAGAGATCATACAAGTATCCGGTTTAGAGCAGAGCAGTAGAGTCTTCATAGGCATGGTGAAAAGTCAAAGACAAAACTTTTTTTTCTAAGGGATGCCGAAGATGCAAATACATGAATTTAGACATCCAAAAATATGCTTCAGATTTCTATAATAATGTGCCTATCCTACAGTAATTTTATAGAAGGACCATTACCGAGACTTTCTGTAGAGGTTGATACGTTTTTTCTGCTCGTGGAGCTTTTACCGAGATCAGTGGATTTTGCCCCAGAGGAAGCCTTCTGCACCATAGTTTGTAGGACCTTCTTCTCTGAAAAGGACGATGAAGAATATAAGACATAGAGAGGATTTCTAGAATCACATTACTCATTATAGAAACAGATCTCAGTGTGCATACCTTCCTGAAGAGCTTTAATAGTAGATTGTAAGTCTTGACGATCTTTCTCTAGGCTCTGTAATTTTCTCCTGTAAAAGTTGAAAGGTAAGATGAGAAATATATCCCAGAAAGCAATCGAAGTTACAGATTGAATCCTTATGGGGGTTTTCCAGTATGCCATGATTCTTTTTGGATCAAACATCAAGTAAAGATGAAGATACAGACAGGTATATAACAATACAGTAAAGAGCATACTTGTAAGAAGACATTTCTGCTTGTGCATTCTCCAGTTCTCTCTCCAGCTTTAACTCATTAGATCTGAGTCTGAGAGCCTGATATATGTTCCAAGAAAAAGTCAACCGCTAAACAGATGAATATGAGCATCTAAACTAGAGGGTACATACATTTCACAACTCGAAAATCAAAAAACTAAACTAAAAATGTCATTGCACACTTTTGCAGCTAAGTGAATTGAAAATGTTTTTAAGTATTTTGTAAAAAAAACTAATGTGATAGTAAGAACAAACATCCAAAGCTTATTACCTTATCTTCCAAGCTGATGACTTCAGCAGCCAGTATTTGGGAACGCTCGTCAGCAGCATTACATTCTAGCTGCGCATTTGCATACTCAATCCTGAAAGACTCGAGTTCCCCCTGTGAGGAAACAGTGTTAAATCAAGTAATAGGTTTTGGAATAATCTAGACAATAGCTCCAACGGATGAAAGAACATGACATACATATACTCATCTAGAATCATACTAAGGCTTACACAAATTTTGAGTCTCATAAGTGAACATCAAGAAATTTGATAACATATGAATGCAGCAAAATGCAATATCTTGCTTTACTAACACATATTGTTACAGCATATACGACTGAAATTTGTTGAGTGTACGTAGTTAATACTAACCATTTGATCTTGGATCTGTTGATGTAGCTTCTCCATGTCATCTTTTAGTTGGTTGACAATACTTCTCTGGATGATATAGAAGAGTAAACAAGTATTACATGAATCATTGAGAGCATTTGGGACTATTATAAAGGTCAGTGGACACATGTCTTATAGTAAACAATATAGGACATCATTCACACTCAACAGTAGATAATCCAAATAAATGCCAATTACGTAGACAACCTGAAGAGACTTCTCCAGAATTTTTGTTTTAACAACCATTTGTGCCTCAATTATGAATGCAGAAATGATTTCAGAGTCTAAAACTGGTTTGGTCAAGAGTATGGCACTTTAAACTAGACTCATTTAACAAATCCATCCAAATCATGATTTATAAGTATTCTACCATGGATCACAAAACCACATGACAGAAAATTCAGGCGAACAATGAAGGATGATAAAGTGCAAATAATTAGTCAACTACTCCAAATGGTCGAGATTTTTTTCTTAGTATGCTCGACACTATCCAACTAGGATGTCACAAGTCTTCATGTACCTGCTGGTTATAAGTGTCTGTCATCGAAGAATTCTCAGATGCTAAGGATTCGGCCAGAGAACGTGAAGCATCAAGATCCCTTTGCAGTGAAAACTTTTCTTGTGTTAAATCCTCAATATGCTACAAATGGAAATATGAAACCGTTTCTCAGTAAATGTAAAGGACAAAGGGTATACAAAGAGGAAGCATTCTGATGTATTATAAAAGAGCAATGCACAAATGCACAACAATGTAAAAAGAATATGAACAACCAGCGAGAGGCCTCAATCCAGAATCTCTGACAATTTACTCATCTTCATATAACAAGAGAACAA